CGGCGAGGAAAATTTTTTGCTTAATTAATAAAAATACATTTATGAAGTTGTAGTTACAATTTGGCCTTGTACATCCAAGCATATGAAATTTCATGTATGTATAGTATAACCGCAAGCTAAACTCTTGGCTATAACATTAAGTTATATGCGTTTTATTTCTTTTTGAAATCGCATGATTAAACAAACAACTTCTAATGTTCATGCTGTTAAAGTTTATATATCTGCTAATCAACTTGACAAGCTGTTAGTAGTGACTACCAGTTAATGATCTACTCGTCTTCTAACAAGGTCACGTGAAAGTTTTCTTTTTTTTGGTTCTCCATGATTTATAATTTATGGTTTGTGTCTGCTCATGAAGGCAATCAATATTTTTGATATCATATTCATTTCATACGATAACAATATGTTTATCTGTCACTTGTTTGCTCCCATTATTTGCAAAGTTGGGATAAAATGTGTAATTTTATAATAAAAAATTCAACTAATAGGAATAGTAAGATAATCTCGCCTAGGCACTCAAGAATTCATTTAAATTGTTTAAATAATTTATGTTTTTATATTTCTAATTTTTTTTGTGGTTTTTTTGACCGTATTGTGAACTGCTATATTTTCCTCTCCAATATTATTATTAATAATTAATTTCAATAATATGTTGGAATTTAACGCGTTTGGTCGCTTAATCTTACTGTACAAAACTAAGCGAACGGTTATATATGTAAGTAAGTGCAAATATATATATACACACAAACTGGGGAAAAATATAAATACAACTATATAATTGTCCAATCTCATTACCATCMATCGACACATTTGATAGCATCGAAACAGGTGTCACGAGCGACATAAATTATCACATAAACACAGGCTACAAACTAAGCCACATATCAACATATGTACMTATATACATTAGTATACAAATGTTAAATAGCGCATTTATTAGAAAATATTTCAGACACTTAAGTGTAGTCTAAAAATAAACTAATTAGTTATACTGGCATGCGGATCTATCGATTTCGATATCTAACCTATCACCAATAGAATTTCATGGCGCTCTTCTGAAGAATTTATTGTACACAAATGCAATATTTAGTTGAAGCAGGTAATTTATTCATGTTTTTCTCTTCGATGGATCGAAAGCTCACACTAAAGCGTCCACATTTCACTAAAGTTGTTTATTTGTATATTTGCTTAGTTGATTTTATTGCTGATTAGCTGCTAATATGTGCTTGCATCCGTTAACTTTCAGCGATTAAAACGATAAATCAGTTGGCAAGAAGTTAGTGAGCACGTGCACCTGCTAATGATTTGCAATTAACTAATTCTCGTCTTGCGCACATGTAGGGCATATTGGCTTGTGTTTTTGCAAAAGTCAGTTTTTCTAAGCACATGCTAGTATTTAGTACAAAAGATTTATGCAAAACCAACGCAAGCTGTCAGAAAGTTAATTGGAGAAACGTGTTCGTGCCTTTTGAGAAGCGCTGTGTAGTAGTTACGGATGAAATGTTAGAGATACTATTTATAAAGGGAGTGTGATGTCGATACAAATAATACCAGATGCCTTTGAGTGTCAACCAGACTTGAGCTTTAATCCATAATTCATACAAATATCAGTGTGGTCGCCAAAAATTTGCTCACTTGTGTCAAGCAGCTGCTTCTTTACTTAAATACTTTTGCGCTTTCAACAAAAATCGTAAGTCATTTAATTTCCTGCTTAAAGTAACTTAAACTTTTGTCTTTTGGCTTCATAAAATAATAAATTTTACAGAAACTCGAGGCTGTTTCATACACCAGTAGATGGTAATTTGATCTCCATTTTATTTTCATATTTTTAATGCGTTGTTAGTGCGGGTGGCAAGTTTTTGTGTTATTCAAGATATTTCTTTTGTTTTTCAAGTAACAGTATAGCTTAAGACCTTAAGCTCCGAAAAGCTAGGATAACAATTACGGCTTATTCAGTATGCAAAATACACCTCTCGGTAACAAACACGAATTATCCTGATAGAAGTTGGACATATATACATATATACTAGTATAATAATATTTCAAATCTAGCTGTGGGTATTAACAAAGCGCTGGGGTAATATATAAGTATAGATAAAGTATCTCTGCTCGTATGTAGTCACACACAAAGTACTTAGAGTCATACACCTAGGCTGTCACGTATTTAGTAAATAAATTTATAACAAATGTATATAATATATTATTACTGTTACTGTTGTGTAAATAAAACAAATATCAGCAACCTAAAATGGTCACCTTGAGGGAAAAGTCAACCATCAAGGATTAATATGCTAAGTGGAATGAGCAGTGAACGCAGTGGACGCCCTAAAGAGGTTGTTACCGATAAATATATCAAAAAAGTCCACAAAATTATTTTTGATAGGCGTAAATTGAAGTTGTTCGAGCGTGCAGGTATGGTATGAGTAAGCTCTGTGCAAAGTGGGTACCACGCGAGCTCACTTTTGACCAAGCAAAATGTCGAGCTGATGATTTGGAGCTGGTTTTAGAGATGCTCAAGCGTAATAAATCCAAGTATTTGCATCGATTTGTGACAATGGATGAAACAGGGTTCCATCATTATACTCCAAACCCCAACCGACAGTCATCCGAGTGAACTGCACACCAATAACCGCCTCCTGACTGATGTGTTTTACTATGGTGTAGAACTTTTCAATTGACCTGTTATTTGAGTTTGTATGTGTGAATGCCGATTTTGAACATCATTGAAATAACCTTTCCCTAGTGCCTATAGACCCACAAGTCAGATGTCAAACCGGGGTATATAAACCATATGTAACTCAATCCACTTTAGAATCTGCACCAACTGGCTGTGTTATTGTTTTCGAATACGTGGATGTGCAGGGCAGGGAAAGTTTTGTGGGGATTTTAGAAAACGATGTGTAATTTAAGCTACCTGGCTGGTTTCGGAGCGAAAAGCCACCAGATCGATAATGTTGTCATAGACGGAAAATACGTCTCGAGTGTTTAGATGTGCGTGCGATCCGATGTCTTAACATCAATTTTCTGCAGCCAAGTTGCGCACCCACCTCTGTGCAGCATAAAATTCACGTCAAATGAGACCACTTGTCAACCACTCGGTATAAGGAAACTGTTGGATGGCATTTCAAGCTCCGTACGTACAGCTGCAACCGAAACCATTGGTTTTCGGAAAGTGCAAAAGAACAGCTGGTACGACGAGGAGTGCCGTATCGCAGCGGAGAGAAAACATACTGCCTACCTCGCAATGTTTCGAGCGACTACAACTCGTGCGGAATGGGATAGATACCGAGAGTTTAAAAGGGAAGCGAGACGCATTTGCAGACAGAAAAAGAAAGAGACCGAAATGCGTGAGTACGAAGAGCTGGATAAGCTGGCCTATAAGGGTAATGCTCGAAAAGTCTACGAAAAAATGCGGCGACTAACTGAAGGTTTCAAGACCGGAGCATACTCTTGTAGAACCCAAGGGTGTGATCTAGTAACCGATGCCTAGAGCATATTAAAATTATGGGAGGAACACTTCTCCAACCTGCTGAATAACAGTAAAAGCATAACACCAGGAAACGGCGAACCCGATTCCCCAATCGATGACGATAGAGCAGACGTTCCATTGCCCGACCATGAAGAAGTTCGGATAGCAATTAATCGCCTAAATAACAGCAAAACGACGGGGGCCAATGGATTGCCGGCCGAGCTATTTAAATACGTTGGCGAAGAATTGATAAGGAGCATGCATTAGTTTCTTTGAAGATTAGTAGACGAAAGCATGCCCGCAGATTAGAATTTAAGTGTGCTCTACCGAATTGGATCGACTAAAGAAAGCAAACTTAAATTCAACTCATATTTTAAATAAATGATGAATTTCAAATTTTTTTTATGTATCTCTTCTTTATCAAAAAATTCGGTTATCTTTAGACGCCTGCCAGTTCGGTTTAACCCTCACCAAAGGTTAAAGTTCAGTATTGATTTCGGGTATCCTTTGGTTAGATTTGCCCATATTTACCAGAAATTGGCTTATTTCTTCTATTGGTGGCGATTTGTACTTTATTACTTTTATCATTTTCATTTCGATCCTAGAGTCAGCATTTGCACATAGCTTTGCTTCAAAAACTCAATAGAAGTGTCATTTAGCACAATAGAATAGAACATTGGGAGAAATAAAAACATAAGGCTTCAATATAATCCTATTTTAAAGCTGTTTCATAAAAATATCGACAATTTATGTATGTATGTCGATCAGCACTTTTATATATAAACTCAACTATAAGCGCCACAGTAAAGTGACCATTATAACGGATACGCAATATACTCATTTTAAACTCACACCTAAAATTTTAAAGTACTCAATAACAACTGCAAGCAAAATTTATACTTGTATTTCTATAGTAGATCGCTTTATTCTATACATCCCACCAGCAGATATTTGTGCAATGTTGCTGAAATATTGACATTGAATATGGAAGTTGTGTTTCGCGTGTCATTGGCAATGACTTGTTGCATTTATCAATGTATACATACATATATAATATACATATATAAAGCAAACACAATCAGCTCTACTACTGTAGTTGTATATGCGATTTCTACGTCTTCTGTGTTAGCTGTCTTCCAAGGCGCAGAAAAACTTTGTAACAGAAATAGACTGTCGATAAACAATGTCATTTTATTTCGAAAATCTCCGCTTTGATGCACTGATTGTCATTTTTGTGAACTTATTATTCTTGGAAATGGGTTTCCACATTGTCAAGAAGCTATAAATAAAGCGAATTGCATAAGTATTTGATTAAAATGTGATTCTCAGCGAAAAATATGTTTCCATACTTTATAGCTGTCTCTTATACACATCTAGATGTGTATAAGAGACAGATACTGTATCCATGCTATCAAATCGTTGCACTCAGTCTTCCAAATAACCGTTAAGTGATTTATGCTTKCAACAYGAGCCGCTCWCTTCAATTTATTGCTTTTGTCTGGCCATTTCTGGTCACAGCTAGTCTCATAAAATTCAGCCGCGAGCTGAATCGAAAAAACAAACAGAAATATATGCATAAATAAATATGTTTTGAAATATGTATATATATGTATATGACGTGAAAATTAAACAAGAGTTCATTGGTGTGTCCTTGCACCCGCACTTATGTAAACATAAACCTAACTGCAAGCACACATGCGCCAATATTTCTATCTTTCAATCGATATAACATTGTTTGCCAACTAAGTTGACAATTTTCTGGATTTGTACATGCAAATAATCACTCAATCTTTGTTTCTTTTTAATTTATTTTAAATAGCGTTTAAATTTTCACAGAAATTGACTTATTTACGATGCAACTATTTCTCTCTTGATGTTCTTCATCCCGAATAAATGTATATGTATATCTTCAGTATTCTTATCGCTATTAATGTGGACTCCATACAAGAGAGAGTCCGCTAAATGAGCAGCTTCTTATTGAAAAAAATACAGGTGCATATTGACAGACAGACAAATGAGCATTTATATACATAAAGAGACATAAAGAGATATATTTCAAGGTTTCTTACTTTTTTAAAGAGAAAATACAGAAATTTCATATTTAATGGGGGAGATTATGTCTTTCGAATATTGGTCGCGACTACGTCTGAGATGGTCCATTCGTAGAGTCAAATTTTCGATGACTAATAACTCGTGAATGACACACGTGATGTTTTGCTCCAAAGCCTGAATTGAAGCGGGATTGCCCGTATAGACTTTAGACTTTACATATCGCTACGGGAAAGAGTCTAACGGTGTGATATSACACGATCTTGGTAGCCAATCGACTGGCCCAAAACGTGAAATTATCTGCTCACATAAATGTTCGCTCAATAAGTCCATTAATTGATGCGATTTGCAGGAAGTGGCTCCCAATTTCAGGCATCAAATAGTCGAATATCATAGACAGATGATTCTACCGGCCGACAAACAACACCATGAATCTCTTCAGGTTGCTCTTCTTTCCAAATTTGCCAAATTTGCTTGTTTACATACCACTTGAGCCGGAAACGGGAGGCCCGTTGAACTAAATTAGGCTCGGAAAGCTTGAGCTCGCTTTGGAGCTTGTAAAGAGCGTATAGAGCGAAATAATATCGTTGGAAAGATCACACAGCTTCAGTTCTTGCACAAGCTGTATTTTTCAAATAAAAATCTCAACGTAAGATCGTCAAGTCGTTCGATACATCAGTCTGATTAGCTACGAACGTCGCCGAAAATGGACTCTCCGCTGTCTTCCTGTACGCTGTCACCTACGGAATATTGAGTCTCAAGATGGGTGATGGGAGTTGGATATTTCAAAAGTAAAAGCTAACTTAGATGTGAAATACGCCGTTTAAAGTAAATCTTTTTGTATGCAAAGTAGCAGATGAATTACTATAATTAACATTAGCGCAGAAAGTTCTTGACAAATTTGCCAAACTCAACAAAATTTCCGCTAACTATTCACTTGTGTTTGATAACCAAGCTAGAAGCTAAAGTGAGCGAAGGTGAGACGAAAGTTTAAATCTGCAATTTAATAAAAGTAAGAAAATTTGTTAGGCGGCGACGTGAAAGTTCAACTGCGGACACTCCGTGTGACTAACTCATTTAATTTAGCGACTAAACCGCAATTTGAACTCTTTGACTTTACGGGCTTAACTGACGCTTAGTCGACTGAGGTACATGAGTGCTACTTGTACACCACAGGCCGGTTTACCTGTATCACTTTGCTTAAAGGGGCGTAAAATTAATAGGCATAACACATAATCTGCTCATTTTGGCTGTTGCGCCAGCAAAATTCTGAAGTACGGTAAGACAGAAAATTCCAAGTAATAGAGCGAAATGGCCTCGTTCTGAACAAAGCAGCGTACTGTGGCAAAACATTTCAATTAGCCTTATGTGTTGGGACTTAAATATTATGAAGCAACACGAGAAGTGTGGGCGAACAAGTAGACGGAGAAAAAGGCATTCTCTCGTAAGCTACTCACACCGGGGCACCCACGCACAAATACTTTAAGTAGTAGAATATTTCAGAGTTTATTCATTTTGTTGACAACGAAAAACGTTTTGCATGAAATTAAACTCACACTTTCGTGGAGATAGAAAGAGAAACAGAGAGAAGTTACAGTTAAACTAAAAGCTAAACCGCAAAAAGGCAGACGATAAAATACAGTGAAAGCGAAAAAGTATTTGTTGATTTTTATTCGCGATACATATGTACATTTGTGGTAATGCGACACATTATTTGCGTATACAAAAAAAAAAAAAAAAAAAAAATTTAAAGTATTTGCATACACACGTACCATACTTACATAATAATTTCTTTCTTACAGCCGGGATCACGCACCTATTACATGAATAAATGAAAATGGAATTTTACACCACCTAAGCACCATTCCACTCTACTAAAAAATATGTTGTCCCACTCACTTTGGCGGCCTCAACCGGCCACCACATTTAATCAGAATATGTCACTGACGCTTAATATCTCAACGGAGAACTAGATAGATCTACTTAATACTGCACAATCAGACCTGGAAGTTGCCGCAGCAGCAGCAATGCCATCATCTTCTTTGCTGGTGTATTGGGTAATCTCATCACATCCATTGTTATATCGCGGAATAAATTTATGCACACCACAATCAATTTCTATCTCTTCAACCTGTCGTTGTCGGATTTGACGTTGCTACTGTCAGTTGAGCTTCGTTTGCTATGCGTGAAATTTTGATAAAATATAGATGATGATATCAGGATACGATCTAAAAAGTAGCGAATTTAAAACAGAAGCTATTAAATTACTTTGCAAATAATATTAGAGCAACCAGAGTTTGAATACGGAAGACTTGACTTAGCTGTAAATAAATAATTCAGTACATATATGCCACGGATTTTACTGAGTGTCAGTAAAGTAATTTGTCATGAGTCCTTGAGAATGTGATACAATTTTGTAAGCATAACGCACTTGAAGCATAGAAAAAGGACGTCACTACTGTTATGTGTCGTTCATAAATTGGCTTGCTGACATAAACCAATATACAAAACGAAATGCCTTCCGACGTATATACAGAAATTTGATGTCCTTATTTAGGCTCTTTAAGGAATACTTTACATTAGTAGTTTATTGTTCGCCTCTGGTTCTTAATTTCAATACTTCATTCATTTATGTGCCAGTTTTTAATGACAGTTTTTGAAACATTTCTATTTTTATAATCCACGTTTGATCAAATTTTAATATTTCAGTAATAATCTTTCTTATTTTAGGGCACCTCAGGACGTTTACAGTTATTGGTACCCAAATGCCTTCCCATTTGGCGATGCAATTTACATAATTGGTAGTGTTTTAGCGGAGACAGCCACCAATGCGACCGTGCTAACAATAACGGGATTTACCGTTAAGCGCTACATAGCGATAAGTTATCCCTTTCGGTGAGTAAAATTTAATGTTTACTACTTAATACTTTTTGTTTACTGGAAATTATCAGCTTATAATTACAGTTAATGTTTTTTTAACTAAATAGTTTGCGTTCTCTCAACCAGAAATTACTTACTTCTGCCTTTTTTTATAAAGTAAAGTGACTACAAGAGGAAGGGCATAAAGGTTGCAGCAGTCGTGCTATTTATTTATATTTTCCTTTTCCAATTCCAACTAACTATTTTTGCGATTAATTGCAGTCATACACGCGTAACTTTTTAGAGCAGACCACACATTGTCGCATCTTCACGGTTTATAACCTTCATTTAAACACACACATATACACATAGTACTATCGGCAAAATAATAAGACTGGGTTCATAATTTTAAAATTCTTAATTTATTTTTAAAATTCTATATCTTCTCTCTCAAAGTGATCACCCTTCCGGAGTTCCAAGCGTTGTCGGTCCACAATTTTGAACTCATTTTACAATAATTCACTCAACGTAAAATCGCGAAATACACTTGATGCACTTTGGAAAGAGAAGTGTAAACGAAAAAATAATGATATTTTGATATAGAATTTGACACAGAAGTCACTGGCAGTCATTCCACCCTGAAATAAAAATATTTTCACGAATGGATTTTCGCGCAAACTTTAAATTAAGAAGACTTACTAGCTTTTTCTCACTGTAATATTATATTTGTTGATGATTCTTTTGTCAAAAGTTTTAGCGTAATAAAGAAACAAATTTCGGATTAAAACTTCATTTTCATTTATTAATTCTAATTATTTGATTTAAAATTGGAGTAGATCACATAATGGTCGTAAGTATTTATAGAAGACTCACATAGCTGCCCTTCGTTTGTTGCAGTTTGCATATTACGCTGTCATAAATTAGAAGGTGTTGCGTACATTTAGCCTTATCAACGAGTGAATTGAGAATACAACAGAGAAACAAAAATAAAAACAAAAACAAAAAGAATTCAGTTAGACTAATTTGTTGTATTATTTTCTTAGTGTCAATGCAAACAGCCACAAGTGATGACAATAAAAATACAATTATTGTCAAAAGCATCAAATCAGCGCAGTTTGTTGCACTCACACATGGAATATTAATGTGCACGTTTTCATAGACACAGTATAGAGTAAGCATTTATGTAGCGAGTTTGTTTTTTTCGGCCAGACTTTATTTACGCATTACGTTTAATTACTTATGTGAATCAATATGATTATGTGAATTTCTAATTAATTACCTCGGGAAAGCAATTAAATTGAGATTATAGAGATTTTGATACTTGTACTTAGTATGAGCACAGACTGGAAATTAAACTTTTTGCTAACAGACTCTCTTATATATAATTCCATGACATTTATTTTTATATCAAAAACACAGATTTTGGTTAAGAATTTGGTTAACAGGTTATTAGAGTGAAAAGTATTTGTTTTGGTGAGAATTAAATTCATTAAAAAATATACATTTGCTAAAACAAAACAAAATGTAATATTTTAGTAATTCGAACATTGCAAGAACACAATTACTTCAGCACTTTGAAGTCTAACCGCGTCGAAAGGTTCAAATAACTGTATATTAAGAGCTTAATCTCCTCTGCTGGACATGTTGGTCCAGGCGGTCACTGGCAAAATCACTTTGTATGTCTGCACTTTGCTATCTGAAATTCTCGCTTCCCACTTCTTATACCCGCGATACTGTTGTAAGTTCACATATGCTCCAAAGTTCCAAATCACCATTGTGTTTTGTAAATTGTGTACTTACTGTCACCGTTACTCATTACTCATGCGTCTGCTGTTGTTGTGGTTAGCGGTGCTGCTGTGTGTTACTAATGCGGGCGCTTCTACGCTCGTGCGCTTGAATACTAATGCTGTCGTGCGTTAGCTGTGCTTGCTGTTTGCAAATTCTAAACTGCAGATATATCTGCAGATGCTTCCCGCTAATAGCTACCAATTTAAACGCAATTGTACGCCGTTAAACTAATTTTATCTACACGGCACTTGCGGATGCTTAAATTGGTTTCTGTGTGGATACGTGACCATTGCTAACCGAAATTCTATTTGAAAGCTCCCTCTATATTACTAAATTGTATTTGCATATATGATTTTGGTAAGCCTGAATTTGAGAAAAGGTTCACACACACACTCGCTGATATTAGGTCATGAATGTATTCCTTCATATTATTATTGTCACAAGAAGGATAATCCAGGGCGTATACGCAACCAACACAATAAGACTGATTTGTTAACAAATCCATAAAGCGCTCTTTATTGTTGTTTTAGACATACAATTTTAATTACGGAAGAATAAATTTTAAAATAAATAAATATTTGTATTATATAACACATTGTAATTAGTCCATACGAACATCGAAGCAATTGGTATAATCCAGGGCGTATACGTAACCAGCAAAATATTCATATAATATATAATTTTGTCTCTTAATGAATCACTTACGATGTCTTAATTTATTTCACATACATATTTAACGTTTTCAATTTCCACCACGTCTCTTACGTAACTGAAGCTGAAGAAGATTAATTGTTATCACTAACAATAGATATACTCAAATGTGGCCATAGTTTTGTGCGTAGTAGTACAACCGTGGCGCTCATATATAAATGTGTAGTTAGTTTTACATCTCTCATACATTTATTAGCCAAAAATTTGTTGAATATATAGCACCATACATATTATTGGCAATATGTAAATAATACACCTTGTCTTTTATACTGTCGATTAGCTGTTGGTAGTTAATGCCGGTTAATAATCTGCTCATATACCAAAAAGGTCGCAGATAACGTTTTTATTATTCTTCATGATTTATAAACTCTAAGACTGCTTTTATTTCGCATTGTTATAGTATTTGTCTGCCAAAATTATTATTAATGTCTGTTTCTGCCTATGTAAGTGATCAATAGTTTTACATTATCTTCATTCAATGTGATAACAATGTGCTCATATTTCCATGCTCAATGGCTGAGTATAACATCACTCTTTATCCCTTAAACATAATTACCTACACGTCTATTAGTGTATGAAGAACTAGTGGCTCGAAGTATTCCTTCACAAAATTAATATAAAATTGCGATATTGGCCAAGAAGTAAACAAATGCAATTAGCCTTAAGTGCTAGGACTTTTAAAGATAAATATTTATTTAAAAAATACAAAACCAGTTTTTGATTGAACTTAATTTTATCCTATAAAATAAAATACTATAATCTAAAAACTCCTACTGTCGACTGATAGACAGGTCTAGAACCGCCAGCAGGAAAAAATGTCATGCGATATACCTAAAGAAAAGATATGAGAAAATATAATTGTATTGAATATGCGAATTTGTGAGTCGCTATAGTTAGAGCAATAGAAATGGCTCATTCATTCGAAATCACATCACATATATATATCCTTTAAATCGATTAAATTCCCCTAAATGCACATGCAACCACACTTTGTGAAGAATCTTCATCATGTGGTTTATAAAAGTTCATTGTTTTATTTTTTAAGAGCAAAGTTTCCAAATTAAATAACATATATTTTCAACAGCAATTCAACTTACCTCAACTTCCGCTCAATTCTGCATTTCTTTTATATGTGAGATGCCATACAAACAGTGACAGGGTTTTGTGAACTTTTAACTTTAGCTTTTGCTGTCATTCTAGTAAATTTACGACATACACGAGTTCGGAATGTTGAAAAATGTGTGAAAAGAAAGCAAACCGATGTAGGATTAAGGGCAAAACCAACACATACGTTTTGTTACAGCTGACTGCTTGACGTAGTTGAGAAACCGCAAAATAACAAAAAAGCAGACGCATTAAATTACACAGAAAGCGAAAATGCTATAAATACGTTGATTGTCAAGCTAAGAATGTGTGATATATTATATATATAAAGTGATATATATAAACTATATAGTAAATGCGAGCAGCTGTGTTTTCAGAGAAATGTAAATATGCCGCAAAGGTTTCAGTATTTTTACTTGCTTGCACTGTCTGCCGAGCTGCCTTTGAGTTCCTAATTAACATCACTCTCGATGAAAATAGATTCAACGATTCATTGTTTGGTCAAAGACTTAGAGATCAACAACTGAAGAAGTATTTAAAATGTATTAAAAATAGTGAATGTATATTAACAATTCCGCCAAACTAAGAAATGCATACAATCTACGAATAGAATACTCGCGAAACCCTCAAACCCCAGCCATACTAACTGGGTTTCATTTCAAAATGGCTAAATAAATATCGGGTGATTTTTTTGAGGTTAGGATTTTCATGCATTAGTATTTGACAGATCACGTGGGATATCAGACATGGTGTCAAAGAGAAAGATGCTCAGT